AGAGAGAGAGAGAGAGAGAGAGAGAGAGAGAGAGAGAGAGAGAGAGAGAGAGATATCTTGGTTAATTTAATAGCTTTTCATTAACCTGTTATTTTTCAATAGATCATGGAAAATGCAGAGATAAACAACATTATCAAAATTGTCGGCCTTCAGTACAAAAAGAGCTATGATGACCCGGAGTCTCTGAGGAGTCTCCGTTATGGGAAAATCATGATTATGACAGATCAGGTGACCTCCCTCATAAACAAAGTATCACAGCTGCTGTACAAATTATTGTTGCTCTGAAAGCAAGCAAAGTAATGTTTGTTGTCTTGTGTCAGGATCAAGATGGCTCCCATATCAAAGGTTTGCTCATCAACTTTTTCCACCACAACTGGCCCTCCTTGTTGAAACACACATTCCTGGAGCAGTTTATCACACCTATTGTAAAAGTAAGAGAGTGTTAAACACTTACAAATGTTGCAAATTCTCTGAGTCATGCTTATAGGTCTGGTATTAGCTGTACTAATCAGCATAGTATGCAGGAGACATTTACTTCTTCAAAACTGCTCACAGTTGTCCACAGTCATAGTCACAGTCACAGTCACAGTTGTCCACATCATACATTGAATTTAATTGTTATAGACTGTAACAGATAATGGAGTTTTTTGGTAGGCATTAAGGCGATATGTGAACACAATTTCTCCTTAAGTGTTAAATATTTGTCTGCAGGCAACCAAGAACAAACAAGAGCTGGCCTTTTACAGTCTTCCAGAATTTGAGGAGTGGAAAAAGCAAACAGAGAATTTTAAAACCTGGCATATAAAGTACTATAAAGGTTTGCTATATAAATGATGGTCATAAATGTTGTATGGGAACATTAGTATTATATTGGCAATGATAAGAAATAAATAGAAAGTGTCTATAAAAAACTTCATATATATTCCAGGTTTGGGTACAAGTACAAGCAAAGAGGCAAAGGATTACTTTGCAGACATGGAGAGGCACCGAATCACATTTAGATATAGCGGCGCTGAGGATGATGCTGCAATCACACTGGTAAGTATGGTGTTACATTAGCATATTATTGTTTACAGTCATAGTTACTAACAGAAAAATTGAGCAAATTTAAGTGGAAAAGTGAATATCAATGAGAATGTTAATGTTTATCTATCAGGATTCCCACAAAATGTAACAAATAAACTTAACGGCATAGTTTGAGTATGTGAAATAACTACTTTGTTTTATGACAGGCCTTCAGTAAGAAAAAGACAGATGACAGGAAAGAATGGCTGACTAACTTTATGGAGGACAGACGTCAGAGGAGGATGCATGGTCTGCCAGAGGTTTGTTAATTTTCTCAATAGCAGTGTTGCCAGCAAGCTATCGATAGTACCTTTTTAGACACCTCTCGAAACTCTTTTTTTTTTTTTTAAAGTGACAACTGACAAATGTCTACTGGGGCGGTGGGTCTACTGGATGGGGCGGCCACATTTCAGGCTAAGCCCAACCGGGCCCAATGGGCAAAGATCCTGGGCCGTGGGGGTGGGGGGGTGCTTGGTGAGCTATGTTCGGGCGAGGGAAACTGGGCTCAAATGTTTTTATAATTCCTAGAGGTTTTCTGACCTGATCCTTGTATGGTTCCTCCCCCTAGAAAGTTTAAAATTTGAAAGAATTATTTTTTAACCTTAGGGAACTGATTTTTTACTTTTTTATGAGAAACATGAAAAGTACCTCCTGTGATAAAAGCAATACATCTTTCTGGTTAGCTCTGTCTAAACTGTGAGAATCAATTCATGAATTTAAAGGTTGGTTAAAGTTATTTATTTTAATTGCTTTAAATGATTAGATATTTTGTAACAATAGTAAAATACATTTAATTTGTATTTCTAAACATATTTAGGGTGTTTTACTGAGGAGACTACAGTACTCAATGGTCATGTAACAGAAAGGGGAAGGAAGTTTGGAACGAAGATCTTTTGAATATGGGTTTTTCCCTCTGATAAATCTTCTTATTTTCTCAGTAACAGCCTTCAAACAGGTCATTGATTATTTAATATCTACTATTAATAGAAAATAAATTGAATTATTATGTTTTTACTTTTCAGCAATACCTTTATGGAACTCAAGCCAAACACCTTTCATACAATGATTTCATCAACAAAGAGCTGATTTTGTTCTCCAACTCTGACAATGAAAGATCCATCCCGTCCTTGGTTGATGGTCTGTATATTTCTCTTAACATATTTTTTAGTGTACTTAAGTAGTTGCACCCATTACTGTTTGCTTTGACTTTGGAAGAAGAATTATATGATGATGAAGTACAATTTATATCATACTTTTAGGCCTAAAGCCAGGTCAGAGGAAGGTGTTGTTCACCTGCTTTAAGAGGAATGACAAACGCGAAGTAAAGGTAGCACAACTGGCTGGTTCTGTGGCTGAGATGTCAGCCTATCATCATGGAGAGGTACAGTCTCTTGTGCATGCAAGCCAATGTTGAAGATTTACAGTTTGTCGGATAAAAGATTAGTCTCAATCAGAATCCGTTTTTGTTGAACCCCCCCCCCCTTCTTTTACAGTGTTTTTGCCTTGAGTTTTCTTTTCTTCGGAATTTGGAAACTGCTGTTTCATGAAAATTCACCCACATTAGATACACACCATTAAATATGGCTAACTGTTCATATAGGTTTGCATAACAAGCCAAAGAACTTTGCTTCCAAAAAGAATCATTGACAGTTTTTGATGAGACATTTGCATGGAGTGAAGATTACCAGGAATTATACGGTCATCAAAAGCTAGCTAGTATGCATATGTTCATTCATACACTCCTCTTTCGTTGTTACCAACCACTTCCTCTTTGTCTCACAGCAAGCCCTCATGATGACGATTGTGAATTTGGCCCAGAACTTTGTGGGTAGCAACAATGCAAACATTTTGCAACCTCTTGGTCAGTTTGGTACTCGCATCAATGGTGGTAAAGATGCAGCCAGCCCTCGTTATATCTTCACAATGCTCAGGTAATGCAACATGAAACCTGGAACCTAACAGTTGATTTTTTAAAATGTTCTTTCTTTATTTTTTGTGCCACTTTACAATGTGTGTATATAAGTGTACCTGTTTTTTTCCCCCTTATTTCCAAGTAAAGATGTCCACTATTGTTTATTGGCTTTGACTTAATTTCTACCTTGTTCTGCCAAGTTCAAAAATCTAAAATTAACTCCCCTGTTGGAAAAACAAATTACAATGCAACCAAAGTAGACAGCTTACTGACTGAGAACATTATTCAAAATCCTTAATCAAAGAGAAGCCCTCCTCAGAATTTCTCACAAAAATATTTACATTTAGGTTGTCTTAACTTGTACAGTAAAAAAAACTCTTATTATTCTAAGTCACAGGTGACTTTCAGGGGGGGGAATGATAATAAAATATAACAAACAAAGAACTTGGAATATTGTTTTTTTTAAATATATGTTTTTCTCGAGTCTGAAACGTTTGTCATAATGGATATTTAATTTACTTCAGTCCTCTTGCTAAGCTCCTGTTTCCTGCGGTGGACTCCAGCCTCCTCAAGTTTCTCTATGATGACAACCAAAAGGTGGAGCCAGAGTGGTATATTCCCATCATTCCCATGGTGCTGGTGAATGGTGCAGAGGGCATTGGGACTGGCTGGGCATGCAAGATCCCAAACTATGACCCCAGAGAGATTGTTAACAACATCAACAGAATGCTCAACCACCAGGACCCCCTTCCAATGGTAAAAAAGATTAAGCCTTAAGACATAGAAGGAAAAAGAGTGTTTTTCCTTTGTTTTTTTTTATCATGTTAACCTTGAATGTGCAATTGATTGTCTACTCAGTCCTTGATTACTTATTAAGCCATGATCTTCTTCCAGTTTAAATATTTAAATAACAGAATGCCAGTACTGTACTACATACTCTTGCTAAAGTATTTCACTCAGCATATAATGTGAAGAAATGGTGCCTTTTCCTATTTTAATTGTTAATACCAGTTTAATCATCTTAATTGTTAATACCAGTTAATTAATATTTTCTGATGAAAAGAGAGAAGTTCAAATTATTTATTTGTGTCAAATTCTAATGCTTTTGATCTTTTCTGTTTATATGTGTGTTCTCACAGCTTCCCAGTTACAAAAATTTTAAAGGAGTGATTCATGAGCTGGGTCAGAACCAGTACCTGGTCAGTGGAGAAGTGTCAGTCACAGACAAAAACACCATTGAGATCACAGAGCTTCCTGTCCGGACATGGACACAGGTATGTTTGAACATTTTTGCTTTTGAATGTCTTTGGTGTGAAATAAACAGAAATTATATAAAGGAAGCATAGCAATGCAATAATTAGTATTGTCATCATATCTTGATAGACAACCTGTGTTGTGTATATACTGTTGGAAATTGATGGATAGATGTCAGATGTATGATCCAAAAATTGTATCTTTACTCTTGTGTGCAGGCTTATAAGGAGTCTGTGCTTGAGCCCATGCTGCAGGGCAGTGACAAAACACCAGCTCTTATTAACGATTATAAGGAATACCACACAGATACCACAGTTAAATTTGTGGTTCGTATGTCCGAGGAGAAGTTGGCTCAGGCTGAGGCTGTTGGTCTCCACAAAGTCTTCAAATTGCAGTCCAGCCTCACATGCAATTCCATGGTAAAGGATCACATTTGATCCTCTTGTCTTGAAATATGGATGATGATTATTTTTTAACTGCATAATTTCTTAGGTGTTATTTGATCACATGGGTTGTCTGAAGAGGTATGATTCAGTCCAAGACATCCTCAAGGAGTTCTTTGAGCTCCGCTTGCACTACTACAAACTGAGGAAAGATTGGTTACTGGGTAGCCTGGGCGCTGATGCTGCCAAACTGTCCAACCAGGCCCGCTTTGTATTGGAGAAGATTGAAGGAAAAATTTCAATTGGTAAGAATTTGAGCAAATTCTTTCAACTATCCAGAGCTTTGCACAAAAAAAAAAAAAAAAAAAAAAAAAAACATTTTTGTAAAATATAAAACCCATTTTGTTGTCTTTCAGAGAACAAATCCAAACGTGAACTCACCCGCATGTTAGTGCAGAAGGGTTATGAATCTGATCCTGTTGCTGCTTGGACCAAGGCTCAAGAAAAGGTACAATTGTACTTCTTTCAATCTCTACACATTCTAATTAGCGAAAAAGAACATAACATTGTGATTGGTTCTTGCAATTACCAAACGTCACTCAAGTCAAAGGTGTCAAAATCGACAAAAGTGTGTCTATGGTTTCTGTTTCTTTTTCTTTCTTACTGATGCACGGTAAAATTTTGCTGTTCTTTGCCAGACCCAGGAAGAAGACTACCCTGATGGAAATGAGAGCGACAGCTCAATTGACTCCAGTTCCTCATTGGGTCCAAACTTCAATTATATCCTTAACATGCCCCTGTGGTGCCTGACAAAAGAAAAGGTGGAGGAGCTGCTGAAACAAAGAGATCAAAAGGTATATTCTTATTTTATGTATTTAGATAATTTTATTGCATTAGTTGATATATATTATTGTTCATTCTCATTTCAGTTATCACAGGTGAGAGTGACTTTAGCTTAGAAATTAGACACTCATCTATAATGGTGTGAAATGCTCTGTTGAGATCACAATTGCTTTGATGGGCATGCTGTGCTTGATACAGTTTAGTAGTTGTATTTTAGCTGATAAAGTGAATGTGTTTTTGTCTAGAGAAGTGAACTTAATGATCTGCAGAAGAAATCTTCAGACGATCTGTGGAAGGAAGACCTGACGGTCTTTATTGATGAGCTGGATGTAAGTTCTGTGTTTTTAGCCGGTTTTTGTTGTCTCACAACCCAACACTGCTCAGTTTTACAATTGACTTAACCTGGTCACATTTACATCAAATCCATACACTGCTCTTGAGGTGAAAATTTTCAAAACTGTGGTTTTGTTCACTTTTGTATGTGAAATATTGATACAGATAAAAATATAAGTATTTTTGTAACTAAGAGCTTGCCCATGGTCCATAAATGCTGGTATTTGTAACTGACAAGTGAAAATCGCAAATGCAAAAGTTGAGATCTATCCAAGATTTAGCTATATATTCCTCTGTTTATGCTCAGACTTCCCAAATTATATAGTATGTGGACATCAGAGAGTTGTGCCAGTAGGCTATTCATCCATAAATATATGGATGTGTTTCTACATTTTGCATCAGCAGGGTCGAGCATGGCAGCGACAGATCCCATGAGCTTTAGAAGAAAATGATTTCTCATACATGTGATTTTGATTAATTGTATCTGATAAGTTTACAAAGCAACTTGAAACTATTTAGATTAATTTGTAATCTTTTCAACTACTTCAAGTAAGGCCTGACCCAAAGATTTTTTCACATGAAATATGACCCACAGAATGAAATAGTCTGTGACTTTTTTGATTGCCCTTTTAAAATGAACTACCAAATCCTCTACCCAGTTTATTTGCTTCATACTCAAGCTAAAATACAAGAATTACTCTCAAGAATTATAGTGCTAAAAGGTATGTCCTAGTTTTTCATGCATATGGATATTTACACTTTTATATAAAAGTTTTCTGCATACATCCCAGTATTTGCCAGGCCAACATACCATGTACATGACTACAGAGGGAAATAGATTATACTTGGGAATGTCAATATAATTTATTTCATTTTAAAAGTTTTATTATTCTGCTGTATTCTGTTTACTTTTTTTCCCTGCACCAAATGTAACAGCAGTATGCATGGAAAAGTGTGGTAAAAATGAATTAAGTCTGAATTTATATAGTCATGACCAATAATTTGAAGTTTGCACTTTTGAAACAAGTTGATGTGAGGATTTGAGACACAAATGAAGTGAGGCAACATCTTGTCATAATATCATCATAAATCCATCACATGATTTGGATCTGCCATTAAAGTCGGCAATTCAGGGCTTGACATAACCTGCAACAATTGCTCTCATCACCTGAGTCCACAATGCCATTATGTCAATTAAATTCAATTCAATTTTATTTATATAGCGCCACATCACAACAACAGTTGTCTCACAGCGCTTTCCAAACAGAGCAGGTCAGACCCTACTCTGAAGTTAATTACAGAAACCCAACAATTCCCACCATGAGCAAGCACTAGGCGACACAGGCAAGTAAAAACTTCCTTTTAACAGGCAGAAACCTCGAGCAGAACCATGGCTCAGGGTGGGCGGCCATCTGATTGGGCCGGTTGGGGGTGAGGGAAAGAGAGGGAAAGAGAGAGAGGGCGAGAGAAGGACAGAAGGAGCAGAGAGAGGCAGCCAACACAGCAACACATAGACTAGATGAAAAATGGCAATGATATTAATACTAATGATGATGGTAGAAGTTATGACGGCAACAGAGCAGGAACACGGGGGCAGCAGGAAACTCCCAACCACAGATCCAGACTCCACAGCTCTAGGAACACCTGCAGGAAGTGATAGGAGGAGACTCCCAACCACAGATCCAGACCCCACAGCTCCAGAGCCAGGAATATCTGCAGAAAGTGATAGGAGAGAGGAGAGAGAAGGGGGGTGAGAAAGCACACGACTACGGGGAAAGGAGAAAGTCCAGTTAGTAACATTGTTAATGGAATGAGGTTGCACTGGGAGGGAGAGAGAGAAAGGAAAGGGGAGCTCGGTGCATCATGATGCATCCCCCGGCAGTCTAGGCCTATAGCAGCACAACCAGGGGTGGACTTACCCTAACTATAAGCTCTATCATAAAGGAAAGTCTTAAGCCTACTCTTAAATATAGATATGGTGTCTGCCTCCCGGATGTGCATTAGTACTATACCATTGTGGACCTAAGCCACCTCCATCTGGACTGTGTATTGTGTTCTACATCTTATTTGAAATGTATCTATGTACATTTGGAGTCTACATCTATTAAATCAATGATGGTTGCAAGCCTTTTTTCACAGGCTTTGAGAGAATAGAAATCCTTAAAATACTTGTTCAGCTAGGACATATATTTAAAAAAGGAGAAAACAAGACATATACTAAGGGATGATCTGACAAACACATTCATGACTTAATAGGAACTGTTTTTATTGTTGTTGCTTGACACCTTTCAATAAGTTTTGTTTTATTGAACCTTCATTTCAAAGGATGGCTTGTATTTAGAAATGTCCATTTTCTGTTTGCCAGAAAGTGGAGGCTCTGGAGAGAGAGGAGCAGAGCTTAGGAAAGGCCATCAAACTGGTAAAGGGTAAAGTGGGCAAACCTAAAGTGAAGAAGATGAATCTTGAGGAGACAATGCCTTCACCGTTTGGCCGTCGAGTCGACCCTCCAACTCAACCAATAAAATCAGATGCAGCCAAAAAATTGACCAAAAAGAAGAAGGTGACTCTTATTTATCACTTGAAAAACATTGAACCGCTTATGGTGAGGTGGTATTCTTCTGTAAAAGTACAGACATTCACAAAATATACAGTTAAGACTTCCATTGCAAGACGAGTAAACCACAAATAAGTACTTTTTCTTTAAGATTTTGTTTTTCATCTGTGTTTTTTCTAACCAAGCAAGGCATTCCAAATAAGGGCATAGTTTGACTGAAATTATGTAATAAGAAAAATAAAGGGAACAAAAAGTTTCAGAATTAGAAACGGTTCTGACCTGTCTTTAGGGTGACTTGGACACAGCAGTCAAGTTGGAGTTTGATGATGATGGTTTGGTTGGTGAAGTGGGAACTGGAGAAAATTCTTTAACCAAACCTAAAGCTCCCAGAATCAAGAAGGAGAAGAAGGAACCTGGTCAGTTTCGCTCATTTAACATGTAGCTGTTGATTAATTTTTAATTTATCTTTAGCTTGTTGATTAAGAAAATTTGCTTTCAGTAGCCTGTGTTTTAAAATGCGAAAAATTATCAAGAGAACCATGTCTTTCTATCATCCAAAAAATCCAAGATTTTATTTTACTGTGTCACAGCAGTTCCCAGAGTCAGAAAGCCTCCTGCTCCCAAAGGTGTTTCTGCAAAAAAGGTGAAGAAGAGAAACCCCTGGTCTGATGATGAGTCCAAGTCTGACAGTGATTTGGAGAACAGTGAAACCATCATTCCAAGAGAGACAAAGTCTCAGAGGGCATCAGGTACAACAATATTTTGTGTAAATCTTTATATTCATGCATCTAGTATTTCTAGTTATGCTAATTTTAAAAGTGAATTTTGGACAAATTAGTGCTGTGTGTATTAAAGCCTGAAACATGGTATTACTATGTCAGGCTCCAACATTGTCCACAAACTTTTAAAGCACAACAATAACTATATTTCCTTTAACTTGTGATGCAGGTCTTACATTTGTAGGTTATGCAATACTTTTTATATATTCTATACATACACCTAATCTTGAAATTATCTTTTAAAAACCAGCAAAAAAATAAAACGATAGCATTTTCAGTAACTGTTTGTGAGAGAGTAAATTACACTGTCAGAGGGTAATTGCATGGTTCCTACACGTAACTTGTTGTCTACATTGCTTGTACCCTCTGACAGTAGAAAAGCTACTTAAGTCCTTCTTCAGGAATTAGTTTGAGTTCTGGAAATATGTAGGAAAAGAGACAGCTTTTTTACTTTTTATAAAAAAGCAAACAACACAAGAAATAGAAATTCACATGCAGAACCACCTGAAGTTAAGTTACATTGTGATATTGTGGAAGGTACATTTGTATAATGTTTTATGTTTCAGTTGCAAATCTGTCACTGAATGTCCTATTCAGATATAGGGAGCCCATCAAGTTAAAAACCGTAGAGACCCAGATATTGGCTTTCTAACCGTGTTGCCTTTGATGTATTCAATTTGAATTGATATAGTCCTCTAAATAGATGGGGATGTAATAGTTTCTTGTCTTACTATTAAAGTCGTTAAATTGTCAACAAATTCTCCTTTGTTGACTTGTCTGGTCAATGTTACTTCCTGCATATAATTTAATTTCACAGTTTGTATTCTATCTTCCAGTGCCAAAAATAACAGATTAGTTTTTGCCAATTTCAACTGTCTTTCAGTGCAGTCTTATACAACACAATTGTAACACAAATACAGTACAGGCATCGTAAGGTCTCGCAAGAAAAATGATGTTTGAGACACTCTGCTCTGCTTTTTTAGCTTCCAAGCCAAAGTACACATTTGACTTTTCTGAGGAAGAAGAGGCAGATGAGGAGGAAAATGGAGATGATGATGCGGCACCTTCGGCAGTGAGGTCGTTCAAAGATGAGTTTGGTTTCTCTGACACCAAGGAGAATTACAACGACCATAATGACGAGGATGAAAACGATAACAATGAAGACACTTACTGTTTACCCAAACAAAATACTAAGTAAGGTTTAGAAGTTATGCAACATGTTTATTTGTTGCAGTTGTTTGATTGTGGTCATTTACTTTGACATAAATGCTGAATACTTTGCTTGTTTCCCGAAAGGTCTACTCCTGTCGCTAAAAAGAAAGACATAACCAGCATCTTTTCATCAAAGTCAACCCTATGTGAAAAGACAAATGATAGCGGTGAGTCATACATTTATAATATTTCAGCTTTTAACACTAATAATAATAATAATAACTAATAATTTAAGACCAGTTTCTTTTGACAATGCATTGACTATCCGAATGTACCCATATTTTGGCTTAAGATTTCTAAAGGATTGTATTTTCATATATTTTGCATCAATTTACTCTGAATATGACATTCCTATTTATATGTTCGCTTCTTATTCTAACCATTTCATGCATGGTGGCCACTATAGTGTTCTGCTATTTAAAGGGTATTTTCTTGTGTATATATGAGTTTTCAAGTTTTAAATGTGATTTGGTGGACAATCATGCGTCATGCAATACGCTGCCAACTAATACAATGATAAACTGTGAAAAAAGGGGTGAGAGACTAAAATTAATCAAGGGGTTGAACGAGCAGGACTGAGAAAAGGGATGAGATAAGGGTGAACAGAATTGGATGAGAGTTGTTGCATATTGCATGTAAGTTCTATGTTAATGCATTCTGTTAGAAAATGTCAAAATGTGTTCACATTGTAACATACAGTATTTTATTAGTAAGAAATCTTAGAACATGCAGTGGTGCTCATAAGTTTACACACCCCTGCAGATTTTTTGCCTTCCTGGCCTCTTTTCAGAGAATATTAATGATAAAAAGTTTTTTTCCACTCATGATTATTGGTTGGTTGAAGCCATTTGTTGATAAACAACTGTGTTGTCCATTTTCTTTTTCTTTTCTTTTCTTTTCTTTTTTAACTTTTCTCCTGTTCAGCAGCAGAACTCTTGAGTACCATGCTTTGCCAAGGGAGAATTTATTGGTGAAAAGTCCCCCTTGATTATTCAACGCTGCTTTATTTACTTACTTTCATTGCAAGACTTTACATGTATCCAATAATTCTGAACCTGAAAGAGGGACAGGAAAGAAACAAGAGCAAAGGAAAGCAAACCCAAAAAGGAGTAAGATCCTTTAGGCAAGGAGAGAAAGAGAAAAGGGAAGACAACCAGCTGCTATGTCTGTACAAAAGAAACTGTTTGTTATGGTCAATCCAGATGGAGAACCTATAGGAGCTTCTGCAAATGCACACAGGGAAGACAAAAGAACAAACAAGAAACAAAAGCCAACGGTGGTAGGAACAACACTGGTAGCAAGGAAATTAGTGAGCTTTTCAGAACTTTGCAGCAACTGTACAGTAGCTTAAGGTCAGTTACGGTAACTGACTGTGTGTGTGAGGAAAAACCCACAGTCCAGGTTACCATGGTATTTGTGGATGAGGCTTTTTATTTTGTCAGATGGTAAAGCTGCCCATTCGTCTTTGCAAAAAGCTTCCAATTCCTGTAAATGCCCGGGCTGTCTTGCATCTCCCCAGATATGATGATATTTAGGTTAGGATACTCAGATGGCCACTCCAGAACCTTCACTTTGTTCTGCTGTAGCCAGGGACAGGTCAACTGGCCTTGAGTTTTGGATCATTGTCACGGTGGAGCATCGAAGTATGTCCCATACGCAATTCCCAGGCTGATTAGTGCAAAATTTCCTCCAGTATTTGCTGATAATGTGCTGCATTAATCTTTTCTTTATCTTTGACCAAGTTTCCTGTGCCTTTGTAGCTCACACAACCCCAAAACATCAGTGATCCACCTCCATGCTTTACAATAAGAATGGTGTTCCTTTCATCATAGGCCTTGTTGACTGCTCATCCAACGTGTACCGTTTATGGTTGTTGCCAAAAAGTAAAATTTTGTTGTCATCACTCCAAAATACCTTGTTCCAGACGTTTTGAGGTTTGTCTCTGTGCTGTTTAGCGCATTGAAGGCAAAATAATTTGTGCCATTTGAGCAGTAAACGCTTTCTTCTGGCGACTCTACCATACAGACCATTTTTCTTCAAGTGCCTTCTTGTTGGGCATCTTGAAACAGCCACTCCGCTAGTTTTAGGAGAGTTCTGTATTTCTTCCTTTGCATCCCAAACTATTTTCCTCGCAGTTGTGGCTGAAATTTTTGTTGGTCTACCTCACCGTGTTTTAGTTTTAACAGAGTTCCTGATTTTCCATTTGTAAATCACAGTTTGAACAGTGCTGACAGGCATTATCAATTCCTTGGATATCTTTTCATATCCTTTTCCTGCTTTATAAAGTTCTACTACCCATGTCTCATAATCCAGAAATGTTTGTGGATGGATGAAAGATGCAAGAGTCTGCCTGGATCCTAGAACTTTTGTATGTCTTATAAAAATTCTTTACACACTTTAGAAAAAAATCCTGACTGAAATTATCATAATTCATGCCTGAAGGGGTTAATTTATGAGAGGTGATCATTCCTTTCTTATAGACATACCCTTTTTAACTTAAATACGTTTCCCTGCAGTTTTTTATTAAGCAAACTGAATACTACAATGTAACAGAATTTGTGGTGTACGCAGTAACATTAATTTATCAATTTCTCCTCTGTCATTGTATGTGCATTTTGTTTATCAGAACATACATTTACAGCATAGAAATGTGAATGAGCTAAACAAAACTGATACACACAAAAAAACAAACTCCATGTAAAACTCCACGTAAAATTGCCCAAAATTTGAAAAATTGAAGAACAAACAAACTATCCATCCATAAGGATTTATTCATTTAAAGAACAGCTCTGAGTAAGTTAAGAGTTCACAATGTATTGAAACCAAATGTCAAAAAGAACAAAAGTAATAGAAAATAGCTGGTTGCTGCCTTTAAAGAACAAAAGTAATAAATGGATATAGTGAATTATTTAACATTTAGCTTAAACCTATAGATCAAAGAATTGAATATTAGAAAGAGGCTGAGGCTAACCTTTGTATAGAGGAAGAAATATTACAAAAGCAACTATTTTACTTGTAAGAAAAAGAGAAAACATATGCACTTGACTAGATAAAACAGTGAACAAAGGTAGATAAAGTATGGGATCAGAGTGAATTATTCATCAGTTCTTTCTTAATGTTGTGACATATCTGTGACATGATTAGAAAGAGCAGTAGATTAAGTTTTTTTTTTTTTTTTTCTTTTAGATGGGTCCAAGTCTGACAGTGATGACAACAACCCTATGTTTTCCACTCACGCCAGCAGCTCAACATTTGACAAACTTTCGTCCACAAAAAAAGGTAATGTTTCATTATGTCCAGCAGCTACTAAGTTTTGACTTTTGTCAACTTAACAGTTACCACACAGTCTGATGTGGTTTAACATTTATCATACTATGCCTGCTCTGCACAAAATTAAACTGTGTTGAAAATCATGCTAGTTAATTAAGCTGACTTCTGTCTTGTAGGGTCCTTTGTTTAATAACCTGTTTTTAATTTGCAATGTGTAGCAGCTAAGACGCCCTTTGATGCCGCTGCCAAACCTAAAAAACTACCAGCAGCGAAAGCAAAGAAACCAGATAAATCAATCTGGGACTCTGACTCCGACACTGGATCAAAGATGTTAGCAGCAGCTCTCAAAGGTAAAAGATATTTTATTTTTTTAATAGAAATTAATAAATGATATGTTGTTTGCTAATTTATTATCACTTTTTGTTGTAGGTAAAAGCAGGGGAAGAAAGAGGAAAGGTTCAGGATCTGAAGATGAATACAGTCCAATGAAGAAAACAGTAAAACCTGTTGGCAAAGTAAGTATTTTCTGAAAGGAGAGCCTGACAGTTTTCGCAACTACATTCAAAGCTGTTTGCAGGCTGCTTTATAGGTGGACATAGAAAGATTTTATTTAAAAATCAACTTCTTAAAGGGATATAAAAACATTTACAAAAGACTAGTGAACACTATCATGTATGTTAGCATGTAGATGGACAGCATTTGTTTAAATGTTAGATATTTCAGGTGAAAGTGAGAGCTGCACATGTATTTATTAACAAAAAATGATTAATTCTGGCATGCTCTCTTTCAGAGTTGACTTGTACAAAATTGCCAGATAGTATAGTGCACAAAGTCTTTCCTCTTGTTTTCCATGTGGGCAGTGGACCTAAATGGACCTAATCGAGAAGGAACTTGCCGTCTGTCCAGTGTGCTATGAAAAATATTCCATAATTATCCATTTGTTCAGAATATTTTTAATTGAATTTCTATACACATAGGCCTTTCTCATTTATGCATTTAGCACTGTTGATGTTTAAATAACAATATCATAATATATCCATAAGGCTTTATGAAGATTTTTATGAAAAAGGAGGAGCTGCAAATAATTACACTTTTGCATTACAAGGTTTTATATGCTTTGTCAGGAAATATTTTTAGGAATATGTTCTTTGACGGCATCGTCACCTAACAGCAAAAGGGTTCCTGGTGCGAATCCCAGCTGAGTTTGTTTCTGTGTGGAGTTTATATTTTCTTCCTGCGTATGTGTGGGTTCTCCCCAGCTTCATTCCAGCATCCAATAGTATGTATGTTTGGCAATTGGTGACTCTAAATTGACCTTAGCAATGAGCCTGAGGGAGGGGATTTTCTGGAAATATGTTAACCTAACTTTGTCTAAGACTACCATAATACCTGAAAGACAGGTAATGTCAAGACTGATGTGCTACTTGCAATGGTTCACATTTAACAAAGAACTTTATGCAAAATACATTTTCAGTGATTTAATTTAATTTAATTTCGTTGATATAGCCCCAAATTTGAACAAATGTAATCTCTAGGCACTTAAAGAAAGGCCTAAAGGTTTAAAAGACACTTTGGCATGACCCTCCTGACTAGCAGAATAAAAAAAATTAAACTTAAGGTTACCTGAAGAGAACGTGTTTAAATTAGTGACCCCAAAGAAGCTGGCTGGCAAAATTTGATAGTTTTCTGTTTGGAAAACTTGAGGAACTTGTTAGAATTCTGGCTTGTGGCCCTTTGCTGTGTGACTTTATCAGATATATCCCATGTATTGCAATATTAGGTTAACCTGTATTCATTTAGTCTTTTTTCTTAACAGAAACCTCAGAAAACCCAGTCGGATGACGAGGACAACAGCCTGAGTGCCACGACTGCTCAGTCTCGTGACAGGCCTGGTCGTTCCAAGAAGAAAGTCAAATACTTCCACGAGTCGGACAATGAGGAAGACAAGGAAGTTGATGACGACATGTTTGATTAAAGCAACTTTAATTTTGGGATGCATTTTGCTTGTATGGAAGTTTCCCTCTGTATTCCAGCAGATTTTTGTACATTTCCCATTTCATTTTTATTTCTTTTCATTAATGGTGGTGTCTAATGATTTTTAATGTGTAGGTGTTTTACACTTTCTATTATAATACATGAGCGGGATTTTTTTTATGCTCATTGAAATGTTATGTATTTGTCTGAAGCAGCTTTTAGAAATTTAGAGCGCTGTTATTTAGCACATTTTAATTGTTAAGATACAATGTAACTTTTTGAACATGAAGTTGAAAGTAAACAATGAAATATCCATTTGTTTACTGGCCTGACTTTATATTTATCCGCCTTTCCAAGGTGTACCTCACCTCTCCAAATGACAACTGGACAGGCTCTTCACAACCCTTAGTTTGAATAAATGGGTGCAGAACATAGCTGGATGAAGAGAGAATTTTGTTTATCTTTTTATTTTTAGTATTCGGAAGTTCAAGTGGTCTGGGGAAAATTCTACTTCAAAGAAAGTCAGGGGTTAAGTTAATCGTTTTCAACCTTTTTTTAACAAACGCCCCCCTGACCATTGTATGATCCTTGTAACGCGCCCACCCCACCACTCAAAAAAACAAAAAACTACAGGGTGCTGGTGCTTTAAGTGAAGTAAACAGTTTGTTAAGACTGGAGCACTCCAAAATTACATTGGGTTTTATGATGAGAAAAGCCATTGCTTTGCTTTAAAATGCCTGATTTAATTAGATTGGAGCTGTCTTTATTACCTCAATACCTATGCTGCTGAGCAAATCTGACCACTTTACAGGAAATTAAAGCAATGATTTTAAATATCACCTACAAAATGTACGTTTTGAAATATATAATAGGTCATGTTTATACACGACTTCATTGGAGAGACTGGCTAAGTTGTCTGGAGCTATGTTGTCCGGGGCAAACAGGTGCTAGGCGAGGGATCAGACGAAGCGCAGCCCAAAGACCCTATATGAGGAGAAACGCAAATGGACCTAGTGCTCCCTCACCCGTACACGGCCCCACCAGGGCCCCACTCTGGAGCCAGGCCTGGAGGTAGGGCTCGTTGGCGAACGCTTTAACCCATGGAACCCGGCTGGGCCCTGCACAAAGATGTCAGATGGGTCCACCTTCTGATGGGATCACCACACATGTACATTGGGGTTCACCCCGGTGAATGATAGGGCAGCTTACCTTCGCTTTCGGGTGAGGGGACGGGTTCTTTGGGGTTGTTTGTGCTTATGTGCCTATCAACAGTTCAGAGTACCCACCCTTTTTGGAGTCCCTAGAGGGGATGCTGGAGACTGACCTTCTTGGCCGCAACTAAATGATCTGCTTTGCTGTAATTTGATCTAATCTGCGGCCGCATGTCTTGGACACTCGGGTGAAGAGTGGTGGGGGAGGATGCCGGTGAGGCCGGGCAGCCCCAAACGCATTGTGAGGGATCACGTTCCGGGGGAGGTGGGGGACATTGAGTCTTAGTGGGCCATGTTCCGTGCATCCATTGTTGACTCAGCTTCCCGGATCCTCGAACCCGCGGGTGGACACCACCATTGAGGGATGCTGTCAGGTTGAAGGAGTCCTATCGGGCCTTTGTGGCCTGTGGAACTCCAGCTGATGGGTATCGGCAGACCAAGCGGCATGCTGCTTGGACCCCACCATCACTGTTTACAGTGGGGATGGTGTGCTGTCGACCACAACTTGTGACGTCGTGGGTCTGTGGGCAGACTTTCTCAATCCCACTAGCGCATCTTCTGTTGAAGGAGCAGAGCCTGGAGATCTGGGGTCAAGCTCTCCCATCCCTGCGGCTGAAGTCATCGAGGTGGTTAAAATCCACCCCTGGAGCCCTGCCACTGCGGAGTGGCAGGGCTCCAGGGGTGGATGAGATTTGGCTGGGGTTCCTCAGGGCTCTAGATGTGTAGGGTTAGCGCTGGCTGACACAACTTTGCAATATCGTGTGGACAACAGTGGCAGCCCTCACGGGTACAGCGCCCCCAAAAAGGTTCATAACGAGGTTCGGCATTATTGGACACATGTAAATTTGGTAACAAAAATAAATCAATAAAGCAGGTTTGGCTAATCAAGGGGGGCTTCTCATTAACAAAGCCTCCCTTGGTAAAGCAATTTTGTTCAGCATAGCACGGTACTCATATTTCAGTTCTGCTGTCATAATGCTGAACAGGACAAGGTGGGGAAAAAAACAGGGCGGTACCGCCGCTCTTGTCAAAACCTAGGTAAAGTTAAATTCCACCTCCTCTCACTTTTCACTTTGATTTGGATAACTCATTCTTGTCTGTGTTTCCTTCTCCTGAAATGTTTACTACCTCTAAAGTTGTAGTTAGTTGACAAATTAACTTATTTGGAGGATCATCAATTGACAGCAATACACAGGGGATGACTTTATTTTCTTTACAATTTGCTGCAGTTTTGAGCAGAAACACTATATGATGTGAAGTCGAATCAAAATAGTAACTACTTAACTCTAGTGTGGAGAAAATAGATTATCTCAAAATTTGCAGAAAATTCTTTCTTTTGAGAACCATATTCTCAACTACAAAATAAACTCCTTCAATTAGTGAAGAAAAATCAACCCTCAAAAATATCCACAGATGCATGCATTTTGAAATAAATATATGTTACTATATTTGTTGCGTTGTTCTCTCATTATTGTTTATGTTTAATGTTAATTGTTTCTGTGCTTAAGATGACGTCACATTTACATGCTCACGTGACAAAAAAATCAATGAACTACACCTGTGTGAGAATAAATGAGTGTGCCCGTGAGTGAACGGTGGTCACACGAAAAGGAAACATTACAGACTGAGTGTCTCTTAAATGTATGCGTAAAGCTGCGAAATAAACTCTGCTAACAGGTTATAGGCCCAGAGTATTTGATACACTTTTAAGTGGTGGATCAGGTGAATGCCGCGACGTTACATGCGTGCACCTGAGTTTATTTAAACATGTCAAAAAGAGAGAAGGACACAGCACCAAATCACTGGGGCAGGCTCGTGTCTGATGGAGACGAAAAAGGATACGAGCTGTGGGAGACTAGTTTTTGGGCCATCTCTGTCTGCAAGGGCTGAAAGACACTATCCTGAACGCACCAGGCACATATGACGACAGTGATGATGAGAGGAACGCGGAGGCATACGCTGAACTCATCCAGTTTCTGGATGATAAGAGCTTGTCGCTGGTGATGCGTGAGGTGGCAGATGATAGGCGAGCGGCACTGAGGATCCTCCGCGGATATTACGCAGGAAAAGGAAAGCCCAGAGAGATAAACTTGTACACAAAACTCACATCACTACAAAAATCACCTATGGAGAACGTAACTGAATACGTGATAAGGGAAGAAATTGCGATCACTGCTATCATTGCTTTTTTGATAAATAATTAACTAATTCACTAATGTACATCAATCAAAAAGTATAGTAAAATCCAATTAATTAATCAACATGTGTTTTAAACCAAAAAGGTAGTTTTAATAAATCACAAAATCACTTGGCTTGCAGGAAACTGGATGCAAAACTGTTTTGCATTCAAACTATTTTATGTGCTCTCTAAGGTTTGGAGGATTTGGAAGTTTCATAAAGAGCAACATAACCTCCAGTGATTTTTCCAACTGATTTAGCAGATTTTAACATTGAAGTAACATAATTATCGGGCTAGACATTCTAAAATAATATTTTATTCCACTATAAACCCAAGCTTCCCTGTTGTTTTTTCATAAACCATCCATCCACCCATTATCCTCCGCTTATCCGGGGTCGGGTCGCTGGGGCAGCAGCTGAAGCAGGGAGACCCAGACTTCCCTCTCCCCGGCCACTTCCGCCAGCTCCTCCGGGGGGATCCCGAGGCGTTCCCAGGCCAGCTGGGACACATAGTCCCTCCAGCGTGTCCTGGGTCTTCCTTTGGGCCTTCTCCCGGTGGGACGAGCCCGGAACACCTCCCCAGGGAGGCGACCAGGAGGCATCCTGATCAGATGCCCGAGCCACCTCAACTGGCTCCTCTCCACGTGGAGGAGCAGCGGCTCTACTCTGAGCCCCTCCTGGATGGCCGAGCTTCTCACCCTATCTCTAAGGGAGAGCCCAGTCACCCTGCGGAGGAAACTCATTTCGGCCGCTTGTATCCCGATCTAGTTTTTTCGGTCACTACCCAAAATTCGTGGCCATAGACGAGGGTGGGAGCGTAGATCGACCGATATATTGAGAGCTTCGCCTTTGGGCTCAGCTCTCTCTTCATCACGACAGACCGGTACAGCGCCCACATTACTGCGGACGCCGCACCGATCTGCCTATCGATCTCATGCTTCCTACCCCCATTCGCGAACAAGACCCCGAGATACTTGAACTCCTCCACTTGGGGAAGGCACTCTACCCTTTTCCGGTGAGAGACCATGGTCTCGGACTTGGAGGTACTGATCCTCATCCCAGCCGCTTCGCACTCGGCTGCGAACCGCTCCAGCAAGAGCTGTGGGTCCCGACTTGATGAAGCCCACAGGACCACATCATATGCAAAAAGCAGAGATGCGATCCTAAGGCCACCAAGACTGACAGCCTCAACACCTCGGCTGCGCCTAGAAATCCTGTCCTTAAAAGTTATGAACAGGACCGGAGATATAGGGCAACCTTGGCGGAGTCCAACTCCCACCGCAAACGAGTCCGACTTACTATCGGCAATGCGAACCGGTCGTACAGGGACGGAACAGCCCGTAACAAAGGGCCAGGTACCCCATACTCCCGGAGCACCCCCCACAGGATACCCCGAGGGACACGGTCGAACGCCTTCTCTAAGTCCACAAAACACATGTGGACTGGTTAAGCAAACTCCCATGCACCCTCCAGGACCCCGCTGAGGGTATAGAGCTGGTCCATCGTTCCACGGCCAGGACGAAAACCACACTGCTCCTCCTCGACCGGAGGCTCGACTATCTGACGGACCCTCCTCTCCAGAACCGCTGAATAGACCTTCCCAGGGAGGCTTAAGAGTGTGATCCCCCTGTAGTTGGAACACACCCTTCGGCCCCCCTTTTTAAATACGGGGACCACCACCCCAGTCTGCCAATCCAGCGGAACTGCCCCTGATGTCCACGCGATGTTGCAGAGTCGCGTTAGCTAACGCAGCCCCACAACATCCAAAACCTTGATGAACTCCGGCCGAATCTCATCCACCCCCGAAGCCTTGCCACCGCGGAGATTTTTGACTACCTCAGTGACTTCAGCCCCGGAGATTAGAGATCCAAACTCCGGATCCCCAGGCTCTGCCCCTCCAATGGAGGACGCGCCAGTGGGATTGAGGAGGTCCTCGAAGTACTCCGCCCACCGACCCACAACGTCACGAGTTGAAGTCAACAGCACACCATCCCCACTGTCAACAGTGTTGGTGGGGCACTGCTTCCCCCCCCCTGAGACGCCGGATGGTGGACCAGAATCGCCTCGAGGCCGTATGGAAGTCTTTTTCCATGGCCTCCCCAAACTCCTCCCACGCCCGGGTTTTTGCCGCGGCGA